CACAGAAGGGCCTGTGGTATCAGGTGGTCAGAAACCCGGGGCGGCTCTGAGAATCTGGCGCTGCGCTCTAGATGGGAGGGGGTCTGGGGTGAGGCGGTCTAGACCCAGTCACCCAGCAGTGGGTAAAGTCTTCAAGGCCTGACAGGGCAGGGCTGCTCCCGGAATGGGCTGGGTCAGCGGAGGTGACCCCACTGAGTCTCTCCTCCCCTCCTTGCCCTTCCCCCATCACAGCTCTCCCAGGACTGGGTGCCTGGGAGAGCAGGGACCCTTCATTTCATCTTCATCTTCGCCAGGAACCCTGGCCCACCTGGCACGTCCTTGACTCGGGATGGCCTTGCATGGAGGAGGACTGTGTGCCCACAGGGCAGCAGTGTGGGCAGTATCGTGGCTCCCGCACTCCCTTCCCGCGGCGGTCTGACCCATGGCCTCGGGGGCAGGCGAGGTGGAGCAGGCTGGCCCCGCCCTCCCATCTGTTCCCCACCTGGAACCCCTTCTTCTCGAGGGCGCTGGCTGCCCCTGCCACCTCGCCAATGGCTATTGCATCCACAGTGGAGCTGAGCTATTAAGAGTAAGACAGGGCTTCCCTGGTGGCGCAGTGGTTGAGAGTCCGCCTGCCGATGCAGGGGACGCGGGTTCGTGCCCCGGTCCGGGAAGATCCCACATGCCGCGGAGCGGCTGGGCCCGTGAGCCATGGCCGCTGAGCCTGTGCGTCCGGAGCCTGTGCTCCGCAACGGGAGAGGCCACAACAGTGAGAGGCCCGTGTACCGCAAAAAACAAACAAACAAACAAAAAAGAGTAAGACAGACAAGTGTGGGACTTCTCTGGTGGTCCAGTAGTTAGGATTCCACGCTCTCACTGCCAGGGGCCCAGGTTCAATCCCTGCTCCCTGATCGGGGAACTGAGATCCCACAAGCCCCACGGCGCGGCCAAAAGAAAAAAGAGTAACACAAGTGTGACACTAAGGGTCAAGAGACCAGTCTTCCAGCCCCTGCTCAGCCACTGACTCCTGGGGGGCCCTCTGTGGCAGGAGGGGCCTGGGCTAGTGGGCTTCCGAGGTGCCAGTGCCTCTAATGCTCTACAATCCCATTAGAAGAGAGCCGGAGAGCCTTGGTAGGAAAACACTTTCCTCTCTTCGGGAAAAGAGCCCAGCTGGAATGTAACTCCCACCCAAGAGCAGAGGGAAGGTGAGGTGGAGGCGCCAGGGGAGGCCCCAGATCCCCTGGGAGTGAGCAGAGTGGGGCAAGGGCCCTGGGAAGGCCTAGAAGCCAGCAGTTAGACTCCCTACCTGTGAAGACTGGAATTTACAGAGGCTCCCAGTTTACTAGTGAAAGGCTGTGCTCATTGTGGGATCTTCACAGCAAGTGCCCTTAACATATTTTAAGTGATTCAACAACCTGACCCCACCTCTGCCCCCGAAATCCACCCTGGCGCGTTTCCATTGATTCTTCAAAGGAGGCTGGCCTGGATGGGCCTCGGGGATGTCACCCTTAAGCCCTGGGTGCTCAGATGGAGGCCTCGGGTGGGGTTGGGGGACGGTGAGGTCTAAGGAACCAGGGTTTCATTTTTGTTGAATGATGAAGATTCCCCTTAGTTTTGGGGGAAGGGGGTCTTGAACTGAGAGGCATCGAAAACCTCTTTACCACACTCTGTCATATTTCCTATTGCCTTGGAATATTTTCCTAACGTCTCCAGGCAGCGAAGTGGCTTACAGGATTCTGGTTTGAGATTCTCCTGCGTGGATGGGCCTGACCTCAAAGGGGATTGATGTAGCTAAAGCGCTTTCCAGCGCCTTGACCAGTTGGAGCGACGCCAAGCCACTGGGCACTGAACTTTGCTGCAGACAGAAGAGGCAACTGGCCTTGGAAGCCCTGAGTCCACGCCATGCCCGGGCATCCCTGACTTTCTGTCACTTTTTTCACCTTCCAGGCTGTTTCTTAGCCGTGCCCTGGGTGGCCTTTTACAGGTGACAGTCAGATCACTTTCACACACACCCTCACAAGCAGACTGGACAGTGGCTGGGGTGGATAACGCAGGTCGAATCACCTTTGACACATGACACTGAGGCTGGCAGAGCTGAGGTGACATGGCAGAAGGCCCACCATGAAGTCAGTGACAGAGTCCAAAGCCACTGCCTCGCCCCTGCCCTCCAGTCCCAACCCCGCTTCACCCCATCTCCCTTCTGTTATTTATTTATTAGTAGACATTCAAGACGTGTACGTGGGATTGAATTATGAGAGAGTTTCTGCTGAGGTAGGGACCTACCAGGCACTGCCTGTGCTCCAGCTGCTGCCACAGACAGGCCGTGCTGAGGAGAAACCTAGGCTGCGAGGGGCCTCCCAACTGAGGCTCATGTGGAATAGATGGAGGAACTGGGGAGACTGGGCCTGAAGGAGACATGGAGACTTGGGGGTGATATGTGTGTTTGTTGGGGGCAGGTCAGGGAACCATGGCAACAGCCTTCACATCTCTGGCACGGGTCAGCGTGACCACAGGTCGAAGCTTCAGGCCAAGTGCTTCAACTTGATAAGAGGAGTGGCTTTCTTGGGAGCAGACATGAAAATTCTTCCTTTGAAGAATGGGAGGAAGCCTTTCGTCATTCAAAGTACATACACAGAAATCGGAGGCAGCGGGTAGGGAAGAGGTGGCCTTGACGGTGATGTCTGGACACCACTTACCGTAAGCTCTCTTCTGGCTGGGAGAGGCTCTTATTTCTCTGGCTTGGCTTTCAAACTCCTGCCCCTGGGAATGCCCTGGGTGTGAGTGTGTACACACGTGCTGCTTGTGACTTCCCTGTGCTTGTAAGTGTGACCCTCACCAACCACTCGAGGGCTTGCCAAGTCGTGCCCGTGGGCTCTGAAGCTGACCACTCCGGTTCTCCCAGCTTGGTGCTTGCCAACTTCTAAGGGCAGCTTCCCACTGTGGCCAGGACACCAGGCGGTGGCTGGACCAGAAGGAGGCCCCTGTCCTCCTGAGACCCTGACTCCCATCTCTGGCCTAGAAAGGCCTGACAACATTGAGAGGCTAGGGCACTCTGTAGACTGGTTAGACCATAAGTGGAGGCCCTGCTCCCCTCTGGGAAGGGTAGAAACAGAAGAGGGGGGAGTGGCTTGGGCAGATCAGACCCTGAGAACCTGATCGTGGAAGAAGCTGGAGCTGTCTGCCTGGAGAAGAGACTTGGCCTGCCGTGAAATCTCTGAAGGGTAAGGGATTGGACTGTGTGTAGGATGGTGGCCCCAGGACTCAGAGATAGCCCCAGATGGAAAAGACAGCCCAGAAGGGAGGTGGTAAGCTCACTGTGAGTGGAGGTATGCAAGCAGAAGGTAGGCAACCACTCAGCTAGCTCTAACAGGGACCCTTAGACGAGGGAGCCTTAAGATGTCTGCATTCCTAAGAGTCTGTATGTTGGGGACCTAGGAAACTGACTCGATACCTGTGGCTCTTGTCAAAAGAGCACTATCTTTGCCTTTTGGTCTCAGTTGGATCCCTAATGTTGGAAGCCCAGCAGTGCCAGCTGCAGGGGCTCAGACTTGCCCAGGACATTCAGAGGAGTTGGCAAGAGCTGGGTGGGGGTGGGGAGGCAGGTGTCTTGTGAGGTCAGCTCCCTTGCATACCACAAACTCAGCTACAGTTTCTGGAAACAGCATTTGGAAAACTCATCTTTTGGTGGGTCTCATCTCTAACTATGGGAATTGTAAATAGCTGGCTATCTTGGCCTTCCAAAGTGCTTTAGAAAGGGAACTTCGATAGAAACTCATGATGCCTCTTCTACTATTGTCTCTAAATTTCAACCCTTGAAATGTGCTCCTTTTTCTCCCCCTTCCTTTTTTCTTCCATTCTTTCCAGGATGCTCATGGTATCTCCAAGAGGGAATGGGGCGCTCAGATATTTTTCAACAGGCCTGATACTAGCATCTGGAAAGGGACATTTCTTCCTCCTGTGTGACTCTCCTGTACAAGGCAGGACATTTGGCATCCCTGGCCATCCCGTCCTCATATTAAATTCCAGCAGCATATCCCAGTAATGGAGCATTTCCCAACATCCCTTAGAGGTGACACTGTCCCCCTCAACACACGCATTTTGAAAACCATTGCCTGAATCCCCCCAAAAGAATTGACTGGCTCAAGGCCATACCACCCAGTGACAAAGCCAAGGCCAAGTCAAATCTCATTCATTTATTCCAAGAACTTTTATTCTTCAACAGGGTGTGTGTCAGAAGAGCAAAGGGAACGCGGGCCTGAACTGAGGCAGTGAAGAGGGGACTCCCCGCCCGCAAAACTACTACTTCCCACGATTTCTCTCCTTTTGCCAAACTCCGGTTTCCTCCTCTAGCCCACCTAGCTCGCCGCTTCCGCAATTGCAGCACAGATCGACTTTCCGGCAATTAGTGGAAAGAGTGTAGTCGAGCGCGATCCGCGGGAGGAGAATCAGGTGCTTTTCAGGCGGGGCAGGGGAGTGAGAGTGCTGAAACCCAGAGGTCTCCGGAGCGAGCAGCCGCCTTCCGCCGGGCATTCGAGAGTGAGCTGCCGCCAGGCCCCAGCGGCAGAGTCACGGCGGAACTCGGTGGAGGTGGAGGACCGTCGACCCTCGCGGTTGATCCCTGGAGGTGTCCCGGGGCGGGGGGGGGGCTATCTGGGGGCCAGGGGTCGGGGCTGGGGGCTCACAGGCCGCGGCGCAGAGGGAGCAGAGAGCAGCGCAGCCGGGCTCGACCTCGCCCTCCAGACACCAGAGGCCGAGGCCGCTGGGAATGGCGGGACCACCTCTCCAAAGTCCTTTGAGATCCCAGCTCTGTTCGAAGACGGGGGTGCGGGGGGTGGGACAGCGAGATTATTATTATTCCTCTGTTTTGCCTCTGCAGCCAGCGCCGGCGGGTTGTTCTGTTTGAATGAATGATCCCAGCGGCCGCGCCCAATGGGCGCCCGCGCCTGTTTAATATTCATGAGGCTCGCGGCCAATGGCCGGGCGAGGAGGCTGTTTTAAACGGCGGAGCCCGCTGGCCAATCAGGCGGCTCTCGTGGAGGCAGCTAGCGCGAGGCTGTGGAGCGCTGAGCCGCGCGTCGTGCCCTGCGCTGCCCAGACTAGCGAACAATACAGGTACGTTTTGCACCGCCCGCCCGCCCGCCGCCGCCGCCGCCGCCGCCGCCGCCGCCGCCGCCGCAGCGCCCGCACAACTTTCCGGCCCGCGCCGCCGCGAGCGCGCTCCGCCGCCGCCCCCTGCCTCTCCTCCCTGCGCCCTTCCCTCCCCCTTCGCCTCCTTTCTTGCTAGGTGCGGGAAGGAAGGAGCAATTCAGGTGTTTCAACTTTTCAGTGCTTCAAGCTGAGCTCCCCCGCTGTCGGGGCTGGGCTCCCTCCGCGGAGCCACCCTCGGCCGACGCCCCCGGGGCAGCGGCCCAGGGACCGAGGCCCCCTGAAGCCAGAGGTTTGGGCAGCTGCGGCGGCGCGAGCCGAGGGGCGGCTGCGGGTTCGGGCGGCGCGCGTCCCGGCGCGGGGCGGCGGCCCGGGGAAGGGGGCCGGTGCTCCCCGGCCCGGGACGGACTCCGCGGGGGGCGGGCGATCGCTGCCCGCCGGGGGCTACGGCGCAGGCAAACTTCACTCCCGGGCTCGGCGGGCGCCGTGCAGACCCGCGGGCTGCACTGCTGCTTCTGCATTAACATGGCCGTCGCGGGAGCGCCCGGCGGCCCGTGGTGGGCGGGCGCGGGCCAGCCGCCCCCCGCTCCTCTCCTGCCCGCCGGGCACCGCCGCCGCCGCCGCCGCCGCGAACATGGCTGGCGCGGTGCTGGGCTCGGGCGAGCGGAGGACCGGCGGGCGGGTGGGCGGGGTGGGCGGCGGCGGCTCCCGGGCGGGCTCCGGGATCGGCCCCGGCGCTCGCGGCCTGCGGCCGGAGGCGTGGAGAGCCGGGGTCGCCGCCGCGGGCCCCGGCGCGGCCGAGCGTCATGGCCGCACGGGTGCCTTTGTTATCCGGAGCAGTGCGCCCCGCGCCGGCGGGGGCGGGGGGGCTCCGGCCCGCGGCCCCCGCAGCCCCGGGCTGGGCGGGGCGGGGTGGGGGCTGGCGAGCAGGCGGCGGCGGCGGCGGCGGCGGGGCCCGGACCGCTTTGTTCGCCGCCGCCTGCGCCGGCCGCGCGCGGATCAGCCATTTTAGCGAACGGGGCTCGGAGGCACGGCTGGCGCCGCCGTCGCCGCCGCCGTTGCTCGCCCGGCTCCGCGCCCCCGGCGCGCTGCCGCCGCCGCCGCCGCCCCCGACCCCGTGCGCCTCCCGGGGGTGGCAGCGGCGGATTTCAGGGGCACTTTCTTTCATCAGGAAGCTTTTGACAAAATGGAAGGTGAATTATGTGTGTCCCGGTGACCCAGCGCGGGGCCGAGCCCGGCTGCCCATGGCCGGCCCGGGGTTCCCCCGCGACCCGTCCCGCCGCACCCATGCCGCCGCCGCGGGGCCCTAATTCAGCCCTTCGGTCTGTCCCTGCGAAGGGGAGCGCTTTAGTTTTGCGTGATGACCTTGGGTGTGGGAAAAGGAAAAGATGGCGGGAAGCAGGGGGGGTGGGACAGGGACGATGACACGCCGCAGCTGCATTTTTATTTGGAAACTTTGGAGAAAGTGTTCCTGGCTGGACATGCGTTCCGCTTTACGGACGAGCAAGACTACCCCTTTTGGTCTCCCCTCCCTCTTTAGGTAACGATGAAGTGACAGATTTGAACTAGTAGTACAAGGGATATCTGCTCACTTGCCAGCTCACCCTTCTTGTAAAAGCCATTTCTATAAGCCAGAACGCTTCAAAAATAGTGAAATTTCAAATGTTCCCTCTTTGCACTTCTGCTGCTTGGATCTTGTGTTTGGCAGTGGTGACAGTATTTTTGTCTCTAACATAGTAAAGCAGATGACCAGCTAGCCTTAAGTCGTTGGTTTCAAGCTTCAGCCATCCACCTGCGCCCTCTACAAATGTGTCCTCCCCATTATGTGATTCTCGTTTTCAAAACGTGGTAGTTCTGAGTCGGAATATACCTCTGAGCCACCCCACTTGGGTTGGTTCCATTTGGACAACTTGATGTCTCTCAGAGAAGTAACTCGCAAACCAGCGCACTTCATGCTGGTCAAAAGTTAAATGACATGCGACAGTGAAACTGATTTCCTCCCCACTCTTCCTTCAGCTGCAAGTGGCATCTGGGGGGAGGAGGGTTCTTCCTAAATGGCCACCTTTGGTATATCTTGTATATATTCATTGTATTTGTTTTTCTTTCTCTCTTCCTTTCATTAGTCAAGATGGGTAAAGGTGATCCCAAGAAACCAAAGGGCAAGATGTCTGCTTATGCCTTCTTTGTGCAGACGTGCAGAGAGGAACATAAGAAGAAAAACCCCGAGGTCCCTGTCAATTTTGCAGAATTTTCCAAGAAATGCTCCGAGAGGTGGAAGGTATTTTTCTCTTGTGTCTTTCAAGCCAGTCCTAGTTGGATTTCACACTTTGTGCCTACTTACCTTCAGTGTAACCCCAGGTGGCTGTTTTCTTCCTCTTAGACTCATCTTGCCTGTCTTTAGAACTTTGCATGTGTGCTTTTATTTTCGAAGACTCTACCAGGGTTTAAGTCCCCTTTTGCAAGTAATTATAGCAGCTGCCACTTTAACTACAGGACAGCTGAACAGGTATGTGCTCACTGCATTGAGGAATTTAACAGGTCCTATTCTTTGCAGACAATGTCTGGGAAAGAGAAGTCTAAATTTGATGAAATGGCAAAGGCCGATAAAGTGCGCTATGATCGGGAAATGAAGGATTACGGACCAGCTAAGGGAGGCAAGAAGAAGAAGGACCCGAATGCTCCCAAGAGGCCACCGTAAGTGACTGTAGGATTCAGGATAACAGTTAAGAGCTTTCCTTCTGCTTGAAAGATTTTTTAAAAGATAACTTTACCTAAAAAATGTTGAGATACCTCTGCAAAACATTCTGTACTTTGAGCTTTAAAATGCAGGGCCAGGGAAGTCCGGAGTTACGGCTGTGCATGTGAGCTGTGCGCCTGGTTGGCTGTCGGCCTTTCCACTGGGAAGGAGGCAGACAGTCCAGTTCTGGGTGTCAGGGTCCATGGGCACGTTCTCTCCCCTCTTCCCAGGAACTGAGGAAGCACCATATATTTCTGAAGCATCTTAAGCATTCTGGTACCTACAACTTTGTAACATTGTGCATGGCATCACACATTTCTTCACGTGGCAGGAGTCATAGTGGTAGGAACACGGGATTTCGACTTCAGCTCCCATTTTGGTGGGTTCTCATCTAATGTATACCATTCTCCCCTCCAAGGTCTGGATTTTTCCTGTTCTGTTCTGAATTCCGCCCCAAGATCAAATCTACAAACCCTGGCATCTCTATTGGAGATGTGGCAAAGAAGCTGGGCGAGATGTGGAATAACTTAAGTGACAGCGAGAAGCAGCCATACATCAACAAGGCAGCAAAGCTGAAGGAGAAATACGAGAAGGTGAGAAGGGGAATCAGTGTGCCCTGCGCGGGCTGGGGCCCCTGGGAGCCTGGATGGGGTGAGCAGTCAGCTGCCCTGGCTGTGGCTGGGCCGGGGGTGGAAGGCTGCAGGAACCGTCTCCGCTCCACATCAGCCTGGTGTGCTGGTGGTCTGGCTTCTGACCGATGTTTGTATCTGGGGCAGCTTTTCAGGCAGGCCTCGAACTTGGATCATGTGGGATGCCCCGGGCAGAGGGTCTGATAGTGCTATTCACGGGACTTTGAGAGCCCTTGATCGCCCATTCACTCTGCAGTTGCAATGGCTGAGAACCCAACTTGAATCTGGAAACAAATACTTGAAAGAGCAGCCCTGTCTTCCTCCCTCGTTTTCTTATTCTGGGGCCGGGACGGCTTTGCTTCTACCCTTGGCTCATTTGGAATGTGCCCCTGTTCCTTCCAGGATGTCGCAGACTATAAGTCTAAAGGGAAGTTTGATGGCGCCAAGGGCCCTGCTAAAGTTGCCCGGAAAAAGGTGGAAGAGGAAGATGAAGAGGACGAGGACGAGGACGAGGACGAGGACGAGGACGAGGAGGATGAATAAAAGGAACTGTTGGCCTGTCTCCTTGTGAATTACCTTAGCGTAGTGGGCGCAGGGATGGCCACAGCTCTCGCCTGGGGTGTGCCTGTTGCCTCCATTAGGTTGAATTACCCAGTTGGATCATGATTATATCGTAGTCTCTCAGAGTGCTCTAGCAGTTGTCAGTGGTTTACGTGAAGTGGCCATGGGTGTCTGGAGCACCCGGAAACTGTATCAAAGTTGTACATATTTCCAAACATTTTTAAAATGAAAAGGCTCTCGTGTTCTCCTCTGTGCACTTTGCTGTCGGTGTGACAAGGCATTTAAAGATGTTTCTGGCATTTTCTTTCTTTAATTGGTGAGGTGGTTGTGTTAACTCTTTGGTCATTGGCTAGGAATCCCGAGTTCTCAACTGTACATATCTATAGTTTGTAAAAAGAACAGAGCAACCGAGACACACTCTTGACGCTCCTTGCTTGGCGTGGAGGCTGTAGGAGCGATGCCTTCCGGAGAGGCCGTAGCTCAGGGCGTGCACTGTGGGGCTGGACCTGTGGACACTGCAGTGGGCATCCATTTAGCTTCAGGTTGTCTTGTTTCTGTATATAGAGACATAGCATCCCGCTGCCATTCTTAGCTGTGGAAAAGGGGGGGGGTCAGCTGGCATGAGAAGTGTTTTGGATCCTTTTTAGTTGAAGTGCAGTAGTTTTAAACTGTTTGTTTCTTAAACAAACCATAGAACTCTTCATTGTCAGCAAAGCCAAGAGCCACTGCATTGATGGAAGTTCAAGAACGTTCTGTACTAAACACGATCTGCAATGTTCTGTTATTTTTTTTGTATGTTTAGAGTGCTGAAATGTTTTTGAAGTTAAATAAACAGTATTACATTTCTAAAATCGTGCTCTATGATAGTCTAAATGTCTGACTCACAGCAGTTCTAGCAGGAGGACAACCTACTCCATGGTATCTGGTGACTAGCCTCCTGGTGAATCTGGTAAACGACTGACCTACTGTGGCCAGCCGCCTGAGGATGGAGATTGGAAGAGGGCTACTTGAAGCTGCTGCATGATTTTGTTTGTGTCTGAGAGGCATTAAGGTGCACATATATACAATGGAATATTACTCAGCCATAAAAACAAACGAAATTGAGCTATTTGTAATGAGGTGGATAGACCTAGAGTCTGTCATACAGAGTGAAGTAAGTCAGAAAGAGAAAGACAAATACCGTATGCTAACACATATATATGGAATTTAAGGAAAAAAATGTCATGAAGAACCTAGGGGTAAGACAGGAATAAAGACACAGACCTACTAGAGAATGGACTTGAGGATATGGGGAGGGGGAAGGGTGAGCCGTGACAAAGCGAGAGAGACGCATGGACGTGTATACACGACCAAACGTAACGTAGATAGTGGGAAGCAGCCGCATAGCACAGGGAGATCAGTTTGGTGCTTTGTGACCACCTAGAGGGGTGGGATAGGGAGGGAGACGCAAGAGGGAAGAGATGGGAACATATGTATATGTATAACTGATTCACTTTGTTACAAAGTAGAAACTAACACAACATTGTAAAACAATTATACCCCAATAAAGATGTTAAAAAAAAAACTTGAATATAGGCGCTGAGGTCATGGCACAAGCAAGATTTAGCACCTTTCAGAGGTTCCGGAAGGTGGGTGGTTAGGATTAAGGCTGACTACTGTGTAGGGTGTTTTTGTTTTTGCGTTTGGTCTCCCACTCTACCCTCCACGTTGTGGGTGTGAAATTCATTGGTAAACAGCAAAAAAAAAAAACCTTTTGGGCTTTATTTTTCCTTTCACCCCTCGCGGCTACCCCCCAGAACTCATACAATAACATTATTTGTTCTGCTCAACAATCGAGGTGGTCTTGAGCTCTAGCAACCTCTCCTGGACCCCAGTGAGGGGTGTGTGGAGGAGGGAGCAGTGTCCTTTTTTCCCCCTGACTTCAAGAAACCAAACACTCCAAGGAAGATGGCTGGGCTCCTGTTGCAGTTTCCATCATGGGGTACCTGCAGGGCAGGCTGATGGAATCAACTGCTTCCAAGGACTAAATGCCTCAGAAGAAAAGACCCGTCTTCCAGTGGTTTGACCTCTGGCACGTAGATTGTTAAAATGTTAAATTGTTGCTCAGCTGGAAGAGGCCTTTTGTAAGTTTCCGCGGTTATTTCCTGTTGGAAGATGAAGCGTTTTGTCTCACGTTGGGCTGAGGGGTGAAGGCCATAGTGGCAGGTGGTGATCTTAAGTATTTTGAGCCCTGCTGTGTACGTGCATTGGAACCGCTGGCAGCAATGAAGTAGCTGAGTATTGGTATCGCCCAGCGTTAGTCCGCGGATGTGTGTGTTGGAGACGGAAGCGCTGGGGTGTTTTAATGACACTGAGGAGAAAGCATTTTATTTAAAATTCACTATTTAGAAGCTTGCATGTCTGCAGGCAGCATCCTCCACATGCTGTCAGGGACGTGGTCATGGTCAGCGGCCCGATCTCTAATCTGTATTCATAGTCATTCCTTCTCACATCACAACTGTTTGTCCTAAATGTGTTTTTCTAGTTCTAGAAAATGACCACTAATTAAAAAACCCCTGGTCCTAAGGTTTGCCCAGAGGTACCTGTCCAAGATCGCCCCTCTGTGCCTCAGCTCTCCCTCCAGCCATTGTTTGGCATTGTTGTGTAAAGCCTCTGCCACCTGGCACACAACCGACCAGCCGAAGACGTGGGAGCTGTGACCAACCTTGTCAAATACGGGAGAGAAGCCCAACTGGTAGTCACGAAGGACAGATTTCTCGCTAAGAGGTGCCCCTCTATCTGGTGGAAACTAGGCAAGTCAACTATGGAAGGGAAAGACTCGAAAGGGGTGACTTTCTTTTGTGCTCCTCCAGTAGTTAAACCTAAGTGGGGGACCTGTTAAGTGGTCTTTGATTAAGTAGACATTTACTTCTAAAGAGACTCAGGGCAGCTTGGCCCATTAGCTGCTTGCAGCAAGAGGACTACTGTAAGATTTTCACCCATTACCATGGCTCCTCTTGATGGAATGATGCCTCGTAAGCTTCTCTGTGATGCTACAAGTGGCATGGTGTCACCACCTAAGGCTTCAGCTTAGCCGATTTCTGGGCCCAGGTATGTGTCCCTACGGTGCCAACCTGTTGTTATTTTTTAATCAAAAGGACAGTATCTGCTTTCTCTATCTTCTAACACCCTCACCCCGTTCTCGAATGATGTTTTATCCTTGAAAGAACAAGGCTGTGATGTAGCAACTATTGTCTGCGTCTCCTGTGTGTCTGTTCTTGTTACAAATGTATTTGGGGACGTTGAATGCATTCATTTTCTGTAATAAAGTTTCTTAATCAGTCTTCACCAGAAGTAATCAGTGGGCTGTCTGCAATCTGTTTGAGATACTGAGCCTCTGTATTTTGGGTTGATTATAATCAAGGTTTTAAAAGTACAAGCTTCGCTGTAACTATAGATCTAAAGTAACGTTTAATGGAAAGATGCCATCAAAAAGAGCAAATGTTAAGGACTCCAAAGCCCCTAACTAGATCAACCCTTCAGCTAGAGGGGTAGGGGGAGCGTTGGCTCTGGAGCCCTATGCCAGGGCGAATATGCAATTTGCAGGAGCTGCTGTTGATAAAGTGGCTGGGTACTTGTAATCGGCCAGCCCTGCCAACCAGGACTCCCTGAGGCCGAGGGTCCGGGCTCAGTTGGCTGGCAGAGCCAGGCCCAACAAGGAGTTTTGGATGAGAGCCACAGGGCCACTTGCTGTACTTGGCCCCTGGCTTAGTTTCATGTGGAGCCCAAAGCTATTTGGGAGGAGGTGATCTGTGGGCCAACTCTGCAGCCCCAGCCTTCCCTTCCTGCTTCAAACAGAGCAACCCCCGCCTTGTTTTGTATCTTGAGCATCCTCCTAAGATGTTAGCTTAAAAAAGAAACGGGAGAGGCCACGACAGTGAGAGGCCCGCGAACGGCAAAAAACAAACAAACAAAAAAAACACTTAGTAACAAACTGAACAAAGTAAGTGTAAAATGTATATGGGGAGAACTACAAAACATTACTGAAAGACCTTAAGTACATAAAGAAATGGAAAGACATGCCATGTTCATGGGTGGGCAGAAAAGGTTGTTAAGGTGGCAATACTCCTGAAACTGATCTATGGATACAATGAAATCCCTATCAGAATCCCAGCTGGCTCCTTTGTAGAAATTGACGAGGTGATCCTGAATTTTATATGGAAATTCAAGGGACCCAGGATAGCCAGAAGAATCTCGAAAAAGAACAAAGTTGGAGGACTCGGACTTCCCAATTTCAAGACTTACTACAAAGCTGCAGTAATCAAGACAGTGTGGTAATGGCATAAGGACAGACATATATACCAAAAGATTAAAATTGAGAGTCCAGAAATATACCCATATATATATAGCCAATAGACTTTCAACGAGGGTACCAATACAATTTTATGGGTAAGAGGATAGTCTTTTTTTTTTTTTTTTTTTTTGCGGTGTGCGGGCCTCTCACCGCCGCGGCCCCTCCCGTTGCGGAGCACAGGTTCCGGACGCGCAGGCCCAGCGGCCATGGCCCGCGGGCCCAGCTGCTCTGCGGCACTTGGGATCCTCCCGGACCGGGGCATGAACCCGCGCCCCCTGCATCGGCAGGCGGACCCTCAACCACTGCGCCACTAGGGAAGCCCCAAGGATAGTCTTTTAAGCAAATGGTGTTGGGCCAACCGGGTATTCACATGCAAAGAAATAAATTTCGACCCATAACTCAACGCCACATACAAAAAATTAAAAATGGGTCAAAGATCTAAATGTAAGAGCTAAACTATAAAACTCTTCCTAGGAGACATAGGTGTAAATCTTTGGCAATGGTTTCCTAGGACACTGAAAGCACAAAGCAGCTAAAGAAAACAGATAAATTGAACATAAAAAAAAACTTTCATGCTTCAAACAATATCAGGAAAGTGAAAAGACAATCTACAGAATAGGAGAAAATATTTACAAATCATATATCTGATAAGAATCTAGTATCCAAAACATATAAAGGACCGTTATAACTCAACACTAAAAGGACAACCAAATTAAAATGTGGGCAAAAGATCTGAATAGACATTTCTCCAAATCGGATGTACAAATGACAATATGCCCATGAAAAGATGCTCAGCATCGTTAGCCATCAGGAAAATGCGAATCAAAACCATAATGAGATACTTCACTCTTACTAGCATGCATTTAATAATAATATAAAAAAGAAAATAACTAGAATTGGTGACGGCGTGGAGAAATTGGAACCCTTGTACATTGCTGGTGGGAATGTAAAATGGTGCAGTCACTGTGGAAAATAGTTTGGTCCCTGAATCAGAGTTATACATAGAATATGAACATAGACTTTGACCCAGCAATTCCATTCCTAGGTATACACCCAACGAATTGAAACCAGATCGTCAAACAAATACTTGTATGAGAATATTTGTAGCAGCGTCATTCATAATAGTTAAAAAATGGAAGCAATCCAAATGTCCATCAAGTAATGAATGGATAAACAAAATGTGGCCTATCCATACAATGCAGTATCATTGAGCCATAAAAAGGAAGGAAGTACTGGGGCTTCCCTGCTGGCGCAGTGGTTGAGAGTCCACCTGCCGGTGCAGGGGACACGGGTTCATGCCCCGGTCCGGGAAGATCCCACATGCCGCGGAGCGGCTGTGCCCGTGAGCCATGGCCGCTGAGCCTGTGCGTCCGGAGCCTGTGCTCCACAACGGGAGAGGCCACAACAGTGAAAGGCCCACGTACTGCAACAAAAAAAAAGAAAAGAAAAAGGAAGGAAGTACTGACACAGAGGCCACGTAGATGGACCTTGGAAGCATTGTGTAAAGGGAAAGAAACCAGTCACAAAA